TGTTTGTCTGTTTGTCCGCAAAAACTTAACCTTGTCTATAACTTTTGATTTAGTGGAGCTATGACTTTCATATTTCACATGTGTATACCTCGTGACAAGACCTTTCTTTGGGTACCACCAAATTTGACCTTTTGACCTTGACCTTGGAGTTTGACCCACTTTTACATGAAAATTTTAAAATTTTACTTTGGCCATATCTTTTGAACAGTAGAAACCAGGACATGTATACTTCACATATGTAATGTTTTTGAAAGACCTTTTACTGGATACCAACAACTTTGACCCTTTGACCATGACCTTTTAGATTTCCGTACTTGTGAAAAAACTTTAACCTTGGCCATAACTTTTGAACGATAAGGGATAGGGCTTTCATACTTCATATATGTAATCCTTGTGAGAAGACCCTTCATTTGGATACCAAGAACTTTGACCCCTTGACCTTGACCTTTGAGATTGGCCTACTTTAAAAAAGCAAACCTTGACCCTTACTTTTAAAGATTAAGGCTAGTGCTTTCATACTTTACATATTTGATCTTTATGACAAGACCTTTCATTTGATAACAATAACTTTAACCCTTTGACCTTGACCTTGGAGTTTGACCTACTTTTTTAAGAAATTGAAATTTGACCATAACTTTTGAACAGTAGACACCAGGACATTTATACTTCACATATGTAATGTTTGTTGAAAGACCTTTCACTGCATACCAACAACCTTGACCCTTTGACCTTGACCTTGTAGATTTCCTTACTTGTGAAAAAACTTTATCCTTGGCCATAACTTTTGAACGGTAAGGGATAGGGCTTTAACAGTTCATATGCGTAATCCTTGTGAGAAGACCTTTTTTTGAATACCAAGAATTTTGACCCTTTGACCTTGATCTTTGATACTGGCCTACTTTTAAAAAATGCAAACATTGACCGTAACTTTTAAATTGTTAGGTCTATTGCTTTCATACTTTACATATTTAACTCTTGTGACAAGACCTTTCATTTGAAAACAAGAACTTTGACCCTATGACCTTGACCTTGGAGTTTGACCTACTTTTAAAAAAAATTAGCCTTGGCCATAACTTCTGAACGGTAAAGGCTAGGGCTTCCATACTCTCCATAAGTATTCTATGTTGCAAGAGCTTTCATTTAATACCAATTACATTGACTTTTTGACCTTGACCTTGGAGATTTTTGTACTTATTGAAAAAAAACTTAAACATTGGCTTATTTTCAAATTTCACAATTGTTTTCCAGTGAGAATACCCTACTTTTGTTACCAATTAATTAAGTTAGCATTTAAGAAATGCTGAATCTTTACTATGTTGCCATACGGGGACATCTGTGTTTCACAAACACATCTTGTTTTAGTTGCTGTGGAGAAAATCCAGTTCCTAAAGTAAATTAATATAACCTTTTCTGTGGCTTTCTCAATCAATTATTTACTCTTTATCTGTACATGTTCTACTTCAAAAATTGATAGATGGATTTTTACTTGCCAATTACTCGACATTCAAAATTAGGCTAGGTAATAATATTTCATAAAATGTAGAATAAGGACAAGGTGTATATGCTCAAACATTCTTAGAATTTCGACATTGTAATGGACAAAATATAAATTTTTAAACCTATGTTGATTTTTTTATTGATAATTTTTATTGATAAATGAAAAGACCATTGTCTTCAACAATGACCTTTTTACCAGCATTTTCTTGTTTGTTTCCTTCCTCTTCTCGTTGTCTATAATACAGTGGTTTTCTTTTTCTTTTTTCAGTTTTCAGACGCCCAGACCACCTGTGCAAAATATCATGTATATTAAGTTTATAGAGAATAATACATACCCTTTTCCATATCACATCCTGTATCAGCCCGAGACACCAATATCAGCCAGAGGGCCGAAGGCCCGAGGGCTGATATTGGTCGAGGGCTGATACAGGATGTGATGTGGAAAAGGGTATGTTTTATTATATTTATTCCATACTTAGTAATAAAATACAGTTGAGAAGAAAATAAGTAAATAATAATGCATGGACTTCTTACATACTTGTACATAGTCTAATGTCTTATAAGATTTGGGTTTGTTTCTATTTCTATTTCAATGCACTTGATCCGTAATTTGAAAATATTCTATAGTATTACATGTATTTGTAAATTAAGATTAACCTTATTTTCAAAAAGTTAAAATTAGGGAATATGAACCCACCAAAAATTGTGTATGAGTACAAGTACTGTTATTGTGGTTTTATTTACTAAGGGTGTGATATTGACGTCACAATAGCCGTATCAGCCCTGCAGGGCTGATATGGATTTGCAGGGCTGATACGGATATCAGCCCCGCAAATCCATATCAGCCCTGCAGGGTTGATACGGCTATTGTGACGTCAGCCATATCGCATATGCAAAAAACCTGTATTTATTACTAAGTGTGTAATAAAAAATAATTGTAAATGTTATCTGTTTGAAGGAATATTTGGGACCCAGGAGGGGACACCCGAGTTATTTTTACAGGTTTTGATCTTTAGTTTCTCCATCTAAAATCACAAAATTGTAAATTCATCTATTAAAGCTTTGTTGTACTCTCCTGTCTAAATTCTTGTTAATATTTTTTTCAATACTGTATGTAAAGAAAAATATGTCATAATTAGTTTAAAGTTATGAATAAAAACAGTTGTACTATAAAACTATCGCCTTTGAATTTTTTCAATTTTGTCTAAAATTTATTTGAAATAGCTAGACCTAGCTTATGTCAAGATTATTTGTAAATTCTTTTCCATCCTTTCCCGACCAATGAGGCTCGTGCTTTTACTTGGTTTCTGTGGTGCTAAGTGGAGTCCCTTAGACCTCACTACATGAAAAGTGATGTCAGATATTCGATTTACCCCCTCATATAAGTCTGCTCCCTGTCTCATCCTTGCCAAGGCCTAGGGTACGTTCGATTTGAGCAACACTTCAGACACCCGTGTTGAGGTTGAGCATGCGCAACTCGTGAAAACATTTAGTACTAATCGAATGCCTCGAGTCAAGACTAATGTAAACAAAAATGGTTGATAAAATTGGTTTAGTTATTACAATTGATTATTTTCTAGAAGAAGACGACGTAGAAGAAGATGAGGATGATGTTTTCCCATTTCTACTTGATAGTAGGTTTTTTCGGAGAGAAAACGTCCCGTCTGTCCAAAGTTTTTTCGAAGAGGTTGTTCCCAGATTGTCTTCCAATGATTTTGAACGTCATTTTAGACTCACAAAAGAAACTTTTAACAGAATATTACAAGAGATAGAACCGAATATTTCAAAGATTGTCAGAACAATGGGCAAACAGCCAATCGTACCTAAGAAAAGAACTATGATATGTATTTGGTACCTTTGTAATAATACAAGTATGAGAGAAATTGCCTTGCTGTTTGGCCTCTCGCAATCGACTGTATTTGAATGTATTCACGATGTGTGTGAGGCCCTTTGCTCAATTCGTAGCAGAGTTATAACATGGCCAGATCTTCAAAGACAGCAAGAAATATCAGAACATTTTGAAGCTGAGTGCAAAATACCTGGCATAGCTGGAATAATTGATGGGACTCATATTACATTAACAAATGTTCCATTTGAAGATACAGATTACATCAACCGCAAGGGATACCCCTCGATTCAACTCCAGGTCATTGTTGACCATATGCTGCTAATAACTGATAGTTTCGTTGGCTGGCCAGGCTGTACTCATGATTCCCGCGTTTTTAGAAACTCGCCAATCTATGAGGAATTGGAGAATGCGATGCTCAACCCAAATATATTCATAATTGGTATGATCTTTATTCAAAATAATCTATATAAATGTATTTCTGATCCAGAAGTCTCGGATAAGACTGTAGTTCTACTGGTTTATACTTATAATGAAGGAAATTTCAATATTTAGTAACCATGGCAGCACTGCTCATCAAAATAAAAACTGATACACAGAATTATATATTTTAATGTAGTGTACTTGTATTTTATTATTTGAATTGATCCCAAAACTGTAGGAGAAGTACCATTATGAAAAACTGTTTACAGACAGATTGATGGACAAACCCTCACAGTCCCATAAACTCTTCCGAACTTCAACCAGTAGAGCTAAAAGCATTCTCTATATAACTATGATTCTGTCCCTAGATATTTGCTTAATTCCTTGTTTATTTATATTCATATTTTTTCTGTTATAGGAGATTCGGCATATCCTCTTAAGCCATACTAAATTACTCCCTTTAGAGATAATGGACGCCTCACTGCTGCACAAAGACATTTCAATAGAAAACTGAGTACATCTCGTCAAACTGTGGAAAGAGGAATTGGTTTACTTAAGTGTCGTTTCAAGAGGCTTACAAGTTTACCTTGTTTTGATGTGGAGCGAACATGTAAAGCTATTACAGCATGCTGTGTGCTTCATAACATTTGTATACTTTCAAATGATTCAGTGAATGACATACTCGGCAACAATTTTCCTGACAACAATGTTAACAATTATGGCCAATTGTATGCAAATGCCCCAACCGGTGTACATCGTCGCAATGAGATTGTTCAGTATTTACAGACTTTGTGATCCACTTAAATAAAAGACATCAGAAAAATAAAAATTTATTGAAAATAAAAAACTGTTTTGTGTACAATAAAATCAACATTCAAAATAATGACATAATGGGACAAGTTTGTATAACAAAAGGCCATTTGGCCAGCTCAGGTGAGCAAAATAATTAACCTCTTTGGCACATGAAATAAAAGTAACAAAAGCCTTATTTTTGGCATCATGAATCAACAAAAATAATTTATGAACACAATAACAGGTGAAACAAATGAAGAACATGATTTTTTCATCTTTGTGAACAAAAAAAAATCACTATTAAATCCATACCATTTAACATGTTTAAGCTTGTGCTATTATTTTAATGTAGCAATTCTAACATCTAAGCTGTCCTGGAAATATGTTAATTCAGAACAAATCACATAAACGAATAATTAAGAAATTCAAACATTTCCTGAAATTATGAAAAAAGTTGCTCATCTTGCACTTCTTCAACATTGTAGGACAGAGATAAAACATATTTTTCTAATGCACATGTTAACATGCAATGAAATTCCTTGATAGGAACAAAAGTGATGTTCCCGATCTGAATACTGACTGTATCAGACACATGCTCAATATTTAAACCTGTTTCAATGAGTAATGTCTGAGGAGTGAAACACTTGGTTGACAATTGCTGTGAAGACACATCTTCATCCATATTTTCACAGTCAGAGTTGACAATAGGTGTTACGTATGAAACTGGTGAATTGAAACATTTAGTGGGAGTAGGCATAAGGTACAATTGTAGGTCTTTGCAGTAATCTTGGTCATATTTTTGGAAATCATAAAATTCCTTTAAGTTGATACCAAATCTAAAATGGTAGAAATAAGCATATTATTGATACAACGTAGATATTAATGCTTTACTCATCATCTTTATCAGTTTTGGCCTGTTTTGATTGCAAACATTCAATAAGTTTTCCCATTAAATTCATTTTTTCTGTGTGCTGTTCTTTTGCGAGCTCGAACCTCTCTTTACGATATTTTTCTTGTCCTTTAGTGTATTCCTCTAGTAACGAGAACTGATCTTTTCTTTTTCGTTTTGTGATCTTCTTTGCAGCAGATGACGATGATGATGATGTTGATGTCTTAGAGGAGGATTCTGGTGATGATCCTGAATTGCATGTAGAATCTTCCTTGTCATCTTCAGTATTTACCTTTTTGGAAGCCATCACATATTGTGGTCTTGTTCCACTTTTGTTACCATAGAGTTCTCCGAAATCGTCATAAAAAGGACATGTTTTCTTTTCTGCAGCTGTACGGGAATTGTTATCAACAGTGTTTTTGTATTCCCCTTTCATGGCTTTCCATTTGTTAAAGCACTGGGTTGCAGTCGCTGCAGTACCGAGATCAGAGATTTCATGTGATATAGTATCCCAAAGGGATTTGTGGACCTTTGCTACCATTAAATTGTTTCTCTTTTTGTCTTCTGATGTCAAAAAGACATTTTATGTCCTCTTTTGACCAATTTTTCACATCAGTAACATCTTTCTCCTCTTTTGTCATTTTATCATTGCTTCTCTCTCCTAAAATTACAAAAAATAATAAAGTTATATATTTTCTATTGAGTGGCAATATGGCATTACAAATTACACAAAATTTCTTTGGTAGTACTGAATCATTTAACATCAAAATACACATTGACCTAATAAAATAAAAACAAGATGTGTTTGTGAAACACTTAAAAATTTGCCCGGCGGTACTAAAGTAAAAAAAACAACAACATATTTTTAGCATATACATCACAGTCAAGGTCACAAGGTCATTGGTCATTGTCATTTGAAAGAACTTGATAAGTGAAGTAAGCATACCAAATATGAAGTCTCTATCTCTCATGGTTCAAAAGTTATGGTGAAGGTTTAAAAAAAAAAGCTATTTTAAGCATATAGGTCACAGTCAAAGTCAAAAGGTCATTGATCTTGGTGTCATTTGAAAGAGTTTAATAAGTGGAGTATGCATACTCAATATGAAGTCTCTTTCATTCATGTTTCAAAAGTTATGACGAAGGTAAAAGTTTGCAGACAAAGAGACTAGAGAAAAACAATATACGCCTCACAAGATCCAGGCGCATAAAAATTATCTGGAACCCTGAGCATCTACAATTGTGTGCCAAAAGTGATAAATTTATTTTTTCTCTAATAGTTCCTTGAAAGATCATCACATATTTAATTTCAACTTAATTTTAATTGAACTTAATTTAATTTATAGTAAAAGACAGTTCATCACTTAAAATCAGTTCTAAAATTCAAGATCAATGTTGCCTATATGATTCATAAATTGTGAGTATGTGACTTAAAAATTCATGTCACACTCAAATTACAATATTTTTAAATTATCAATGCTGATCAGATAAAAACTATTAAATTGTTTTTATCAACTACAACAATGTCTTGGACTATAAAAAAAATGTGATAAAAATCTGTCAAGAAATGTTGTCATACCAGTGATTTTACAAAATATTGTGTTCAATGAAACATAGAGAGATAAAATAGAATTATCTTCACTTTTGGGGCACACATCTGTACAGCTCTTTAAGCACTTACAATCCAAATAGCATTGCTATAGGAGATTTGATCAGTGTAAGAATGGTACTACAATTTAATTACCTTGACAGCCTGAGGTACTTTTGATAAAATCAAGAGCCTGTTTTCTTCTCTCTTGATCTGCAATAAAATCAAAATACTACCTTCAACAATAGCAACTTTATCTCATCATGGATCATTTTATTTTCATCATTCTGATATAGAGATAGAATTATTTAAAATATTTATTATAAATCAAGATAATCAAAATTGGCATAGTTATGCAATAGTAATATTCACTTTGCGAAACAAAACTACCTAAAAAACAGTTCTGTCACATATTTTAAGGAAATGGTTTGTATGCAGGATACTTAAAATTCAACCTACAAACCCACAAAGTTTTTATGCATGTATCATTTAAAATATAGTAACAGCTTATAATATACTTTAAAAAATTATGTTTTTTGGTTACTGACTGACAATCACTTACCATCTGAGTTCAGCATTTCTACCAGGTTGCAATCTGCAACTACTTGATAAATTTTTCCTCCGTCGGTCACGGAAATTTTGAAAAGCCTTTAAATAAAAAATATAAAAATATAATATACAGTATATAGTAAAAAGATTAATAGTAGGCCTATATTGTGACCTAATATCTCAGAAATGTTTATGTGCAAAATCAATGATTGCAAACTTTAGTAATTTTTAAGTCAAATTATGAAATATTGAAAATCTGCACTCATTACAGGAGGGACTTGAGCATTTTTTTTGTCCTGTATTAATACTATATCTAACGTTAATTAACCAATAACACTTTCGGCGTAAAAGTGGCGCTTAAAAATTAAATTTCGATTTTAAGACGTAATACTGACAGTGAGTGAGCCTTGTTGCATAAACTATATCAATTCGTATCCTATTAAATATATGCAATCGAGATTCATGTGCATAAAACGGTATTATGTCTTAGAAATATCATTTTGTTAATGCAAACTTACTGTTCTTCTCCACCCGACGCCATATTGGAACACGTTTACTCCCAAAAAATTGGAGAGTATACTCGCGCCACTCGGGTCCGACACTCGAGTCATACTCCCGGTGTTTTATTTGCGGAGAGTAAGACACGTGTGACACGGGTTCCCAAATCGAACGTACCCTAGTGACACGGAGTTTACGAAGCAAAACAGGGACAGGGAACCAGGATAATTTACCCCCTTGCGAGCAATCGTAACTACTCGGTCATTTCCTTGAACAATAAATAATGTCATTTCTCTCTTGGAAAATGGCCGTGTTGTTACGAATGCTTTGTGATGATGATTTCAGAGTAAGAACTTCTTTGGTTTTGTATGGTCAGTGGTCTGCAAATCCCCTTGTCAAGGATCCTTTCAATTACAAATTTCCAGAGATTAAAGCATGATTATGTTGATAATGTAGAAAAAATGAGATGTTATCGTTGCATAAATTCCTTGGAAAATTTACTACAAAAATTATTATTTCAGTATACATGTCCATGTCCATACGTTATTTCTTTTTCTTAAACAACCTAATCACCATTTTACAATGTATACGATCATATAAATGCTAGAATTCAGAATTGAAAAAAATACATCTTTAAAAAACTCGAGCCAATACAATTTAAGCTGTGATTTTGTAATGACGTTCCAATTATCAATGACATTATGTGACATTATTCAATGTTAAAAATATATCGTTATCTTTGTAGCATTGCATTGTTTTCATTTCGAGTTTTAATTAGAATTTTAAAGGTATATAACAAAAAAAAAATGTATCAAAAACATTCAGAAAAAAAAACTAGCTCTTTTAGAACCGGTCAAATATCGATTTTCGAAAAATTTGTCACGAAGGTCCCTTTTCGCCTGACTCAACTCAGGTAAGTTATGCAATGCAATATACAGTATATGTATATACATGTATTTAATTTTTTGAATTAAAACTGATCAATTATTGCCCCCCTGCTTTCGTGAAATCGAAGGGACATTTAATCTCATTCGTCTGTCCGTCTTTTATATAGTCTGTCCGCCTCTCACAAAAACTTGAACCTTGGTAATATATATTTGATAAGAAGTTTGGCCTTATTTTCAAAACTTCAAACATTCCGTTGAATTGGCCATAACTTTTGAATGATGGAGGACTTTCATACAATTTTTGTCTAAAAGGCCTGTCTAAATACACTATGATTTGTTTTTTTACCTCGTGACCTTGAAGTTTGCCTTACTTTTCAAAAACTTAAACCTTGGCCATAACATTTGAAAGATTTCATATCACATAACCTCTGACAAGATCTTTCAAAATGCACCATGATTTTGATCCTGTGACCTTGAACCTTGATGTTTGATCTCTTTTAAAAAATCTTAAAATATTTTTCCTGATATCTTTTCATTGAGAAGAGATAGGACTTTCATATTTGATTTATACATTACCTGTGACAAAATACCATGCTAAGATTTCTGACCCCTTGACCTTTTACCTTCAGTATTGGGATTACCTTTCAAATGATTATTAATTCAATTGAAATGCAACGAAAATGCTGTATTTCCTACAAAACTCATTATTGTAGGAGTAAACAATTATGTCGTCAAAATGGATCGGTTCGGCCATGTAACAGTTCATTCTGTGACGGGTAGACAGTTTGACTGTTTTATGATATCGGAAAACATTACAATGAATCAGGAAACGGTTCAAAGTGCCTAATAACAATTTATATAGTAGGTAAGGTAATAATTTTGACTGTTTCGTGATTTTGAAAATTAATAAAAGAATCGGGAAACATCAATTCAGATCGAATGCCTAGTTACAATTGATATAGTGATACTGTGACCAGGTAAACGGCTTAACTGTTACGGGATTTTCAAAACTATTATAACGTATTATGAATCAGGAAAAAGTTCAAAATACCTACAATTTATAACTTATATAGTAGGTCAAGTAATATATAATATATTATATCATAACCGGGTCAACCTCATTCTGGACTCCAGCCTTTAATTGATGTTATATCCCAACCAGCAAAGGTTTAGAAAGGCAGAGTCCCGATGACAATTGGCCACTCATGCATATGTTTGATATCCACCAGGATCTTATTAAATTCCGCAGTGAAAGGTTAACCAACTGAATCACTCTTTTACACCTCTTTTGACCAGTGACCAATTATTTACCAAAGCTTTCATTTCTCCCCTCTTGGAAACTGGTTGGCCCTCATGTTCTGAGTAATGACCTGTATAAATACAACAGAGAGGACACAACTCGTCGGAATTTCTTTTTAGTTTTACAATCCATTTTATATTTTAAACAACTTCATTCAACACAATAAATAGTACAAGAAATATTAAACATTATAAAATATCTTTTCCTGTAAAGAAAATGAGCCAACTGAAACTTAACAATCTGAAACTTAGCTTTTATTAAAATTATATACGAAAGCTTGTAAAAAATCTCTTACCTGTATAAATATAACAGAGAAGACACAACTCGTCGGAATTTCTAAAGAGAAATCCTTCCCTGTCGCATTTATACATGTACTTCTCATGTGTAAGAGCTCCGCCCTCTCAATATTTGTTATTTTATCAAAATTTTCAACTACAAACATCAATTTGCGACGTGAATTTTTACTTACATTTCTGTACCTCTTTATACTTTTGACTTTTGAAATACAATCTAAAATTAATATTATACATGTTATACCTCTTGCTAGCTGCAGATCTGTAGCGTTATGGTTTTATATATTTGTCTTTGACCATAATGCTACAGATCCCGTAATGCAAAAAAGGTGCAATTTACGGCGAAAATTAATATTTTGTGAAGAATTTCTCTACTTTTCAGCATCGGTCAATTAAATACCTTTCACTCCCTAATTCTAAGCACATTATTTAGCTAATCTGTATATTTTATCCATCTACTAACCCTTAAAGTCGTCTCTACAAGTGATAATTAAACTAGCTTGATTAAAATTATGTGTTAGATTGCTGAAAATTTACTTAAAGAGAGTTTATTGCCTGTAGAGACAACTATAAATGGTTGGGAGGTGGATAAATTATAAATATTGGCTACAGAATGTGTCTAGAATTAGGAAGTGAAGGGTAGTTGATTGACCAATGCTAGAAAGTGAAGAAATTCTCCTCGAAAGAGCGCAAAAAATATTGCGCCGTAAATTGCACCTTTTTTGCATTACGGGATCTGTAGCGTTATGGTCAAAAACAAATATATAAACCATAACGCTACAGATCTGCAGCTACCTTTCTCTATGACCAAAAATGACCTGACGAAATCAAGTTTCATCACACTCATGCAAACACCTTCACCGCATTTCTCAGGTGACAAGTTCACTCAGCATCTTTGACTATTTTTATCTGATACAAGGAAATCTCTTACACACTTATTTCTGTTATGTACATGTATCTATGTTTAAGCAATTCTTGCTATGATACTAGGAAGTAAATGTCCTCTCGTTTCTCTCACACACTTATCTCTGTTAGGTATCTATTTTTATGCAATTTTTGGTATGATATATACACGTACGTACTTTTGTACTGTACAATGTTGTGTTATATTTAGAGTTAATATAGTGAATACCCGTAGGCCTTAAGTTAAGTTGAAAATCAAAATTTTAGGTGAGAATCCAAATTTTGTTATACATCGATCACTTTCGAATATGTTGTATCACAGTATGTCTGAAGTTTATCCCGCACGACTACAATCCCATATAGGGTCTTCGTATAAATTTAAAGAAACATCCACAAAACATTGTGTACTTGAAAAGCGATATCTTGTATAGATTATTTTGCAAATATTGCCGAGGATAAATTGTTAAAAGTACAACAGCACGCTGCATGCGTAATACTTTTATTACCTGATCGCCCTACTTTTTCACCTCTGTTAGGTAGCCTGTGAACAAATATGGCAGACAGTAAGCCGAAAAATTTACCAGGCTCCCCTCAAGAGCATATTGAAATGTGTAAAATCCATGATTTACAAATTGATATTACATGTGAGGACTGTGATGGATTTATTTGTGTTAAATGTGCTAAAACAGATCACAGGGATCATGATTGGAATACTATATTTTCTGCAGCCAGCAACATGAGGAAGAGTCTAGTGAGACATCTGAAAACGATCAACGAAGAGAAAATACCACAGATTGACAACAAATTAGAGAATATATCAAAACAGATCAAAGAAAATGAAAACCAATGTGATTTACAGATAGAAAATTTAGAGGAACATTGTAAACAAATAGTGGCAAATATAGAGGAAATTAAAAAATGCCACAAACAAGCATTAAGAGACAATCTGACTACAACCAATGCTCAAATGGAACAACTACAAATTCAGTTAGAGACAAAAAGGAAAAAGATACTGGAGATATCGGAATATTTTACAAAAAACAACAATTCCATGTCTGATTATAGTTTGATTGACAATCACAGAGAACTGACACGTTTTTTGGGTGATATTTCTTCTTTCGATAAAAAGAATTATAAATATTCAATGAAATACAGAAAGGGAGAAATTACACATGGCTTCCTGGACAGTATGATTGGAAAGACTTTTGATTTTGATGATATCGTTCTTGCTGAAACACACACATTTGAATACGGCAATAAAAGAATAATTGCAATGAAGGCATTTTCTGAAAATCAATGTTACATAACAGAAATTGATTCAGATTTTATTGAACAGATAAACAAAGATGGCGAGAAAGAAAAGAAATTCAGTATTTCCCCAAATGACCTGTGTGTTACTGATATTGGTGATGTTTATATTACGAATTATGAGGACGATTCCATCACCCATCTCTCGAAATCAGGGGCCGTGTCAAAAGTTGTCAGTACAGATCCTTTGATCCCAGTGGGGATCTGTCAGTCTGCGGATGGTGGACTTTTGGTCACCCTCAGAGATAGTGAACAAGATGTCTATAAAGTAGAATGCGATAGCAGACGCTTGGTGAGACACGTTACATGTACTGGTGACGTCATCAATGAGTTTGAATTCCAAGAGGACAAAAAGACCCGTCTGTTTACGTTACCATGGCGAATCACAAAAGATGGTAATAAAAAAATCTATGTCGTAAACAGGACAAGTTTAACTTCAGGTGATCTGGTGATTTTGTCGTCTTCCGGTCGCCTGATATCCGTTTATACTGGTCAAAGACTTAAAGAAGACTTTACTCCCTGTGACGTGTTGTCCGATGCTTATTTTAACGTCCTCGTCTCTGACTTAAACAACCATCAAATCCATATGCTGGATCCTGATGGCGAATTCTTGAAATTTTTACTAACAGAAAGAGAAGTGAACGAACCATTCTCATTATAATTGTACAAGTCGTCATTCTGGGTAGGTGAAAACAAAGGCATTGTTAAAGTGTTTCAGTACCAAAGTTAACATTGTTTTCCCGAAAATAAACTTCATTTTATACCTTAAATTATTGGTATATGATTGATTGTTGTCTCACGTCCCGTTAAAGATCTAAAGACAAAGTCGTTTGCAGCAGTAAGATGGTCTTATTTTTCAAAGGGTTGAGCTTAATCAAAAGTTATGGGCAAGGTTAAAGTTTTGTGGACAAACAAACAGACAGACAGACAGGCAGACGGACGGACATGACAAAAACTATGTACTTCCGAATCCTTGATTACAGGGGAGGGGGCATAAAAAGAGAGGTAAAGACCAAAGGAAAGGTCAAGGTCAAATAATGTTGCTTCAGTTGTCTAGTATGTATTAAGATATGATGTTTGATTACTCTATCTTGAATAGTATCTTGAAAAGTGATCTAAACACTTATTCAAGAAAAGTGAGGTCAAGGTCAAAGGAAATGTCAAGCCCATAAAAGGTTAATCCAGTAGACTAGTTTATATCAGTATAAATCAACATTACACTATCTTGAATGGTATCTTTAAAATAAAACTGAGCGAAACAGTTATTTACATGTATGAAACCTGAGGTCAAGGTCAAAGGAATAATTTCTTTGAAACTGAGCGAAACATAAAGGAAGGCAGAAAGACAGACGGTATGGAAGGACGGAGGACGGACAGGACAAGCACTATATGTCATATGACATTTTCATGGCGAGGCATAAAAACTGGGACTCGAGCCCGGGATCTCTGGTGCTCTATCATTTAGCAACCGGCCAGACGTATCCAAAAACCTTTGAAGCGTAAACTATGGGCGGCGGAAAGGGTAAAAAAGACGTTTATGCAAAACTAACAACTAATTTTATAAACATAATGAAATACAAAACATATAGATGTGTTTGACGGGGAAATTATATATTTTTTAAGGAGGATGTACAAGCCATATTGGATCTAGTCTGGTGTAAACTAAGAAATACCAAGAATGAGCTTAATAATCTACTAAACTAGCTCAAAGTTACTCAAAGTGCTAATGCACTAATTACCTACTGTTAGAGACAAAAATTAGTAAATAATTAAGTTTATTTTGTCTTAATTAGAAGAAAATTAATCATGTTAGAACTGCGCAGCTACAGCATTCATGAGATGAAAAATGCATTGAAAATGGGGTAAGTTTGATTCATTGTTAATATGGCTACAACCATTTGTTTCGTTTTTTTCTTGTCATTATCCATAATTCTTGAAAATTTGATTTTTCATATGGGTGTCTTCCTGAGGCCATGTGTTTATTTCGTCCGCCATTCCTCTGTCACACAGAGTTCGAATAACAATGATTTTAGAATAAATGCGACCATAATAACATCAAGACAAGAAATTACTAAGTAATAATCATTAGGTTATATTACTTACTACTTTTATTTGTTGCATCGCATCGTCTGATTAATGAAAAAACGCGATTTTAACCTCACTCCAGCAAATCGGGAAAAACTGTTCTGTTTACAACTCAAAATTCCTCGTTAATATTATTCCACTAAGCACATGGTTGGCATGTGCATATATCTGCTGTGGATAGATCCGTTTATTACCATGATTATATTTAATTTTTATGGAACAAGTCTTGATAATTTGTTGGTTTCTTTAAAACTCAAGAAAAAAAGATAAAAATGTCCTAAACATATGTGTTTACGGTGGGTCTTTTTTCTGTGGCGATAGAAGTTATTTTCAAATGGGGCACTGCAAGGAGGATGCTTAGCATTTAATTTGAAAATGTTAAACAATATGCAGTGCATGAAAAATAAATTGTAATTACATGTCTTACATTCGAAAAGTTGGTACATATGTCTATTTTGTTTAGAAGTTAGAGAGAAAAAAATAGGCAGTTACAGGATTTCCTTCAGGCACCTCACATAAATAGCTAGAATGTTTGCAATGACCCACACATTGTATGGGGTCATGTTTGGACACAAAAACGCATCATGTCTCATTATGTTGACAACGTTGTAAGCTCTCGCTCATTGAACATACGAAGCTTGATAAAATATAATGAGTTGTTTCTATGAAATTTAGAAGCGAGCACAATGTTTGCAAAGAAAGGTCCATTGCATATGCTATGTCTATCATCGCAAAAAAAGTGAGTGCTAACCCCCCCCCCCAACCCCCGCCCCGAAAATCCTATGTTTGTTTTTCAAAATAGTGTCAAAGATTAAAAAATTTGCATTACTAAGTATGTGATGGAACATGTACTAGCCTTATAAGACCACTTGTTATAAAAATATTTGGTTGCCCTCTCTCCCGATCTACTGCCTAGAAATGGCCCGACTCATTTTTTTAACATCCCATTACACGATATTTCTTTCTTTTTCTTCCGTCAACAATTCTGTTTAAATTTTAAGGATTTTTTTCTCACCTATAAATACGGACCCAATAATTTTTCCCTGAGTTGGGAAGACCACCAAACATCATTTTAAAGATGTTTATATGTTGATTTTTTCTCTTTACTTTGTACAACTGTAATTTTGAAAATATGGGCAAATAGAAAAAAAAAATTATTCATTAAATCTCCTAACCCACTCTGAATGATTTCATGCCTTTTCAACTGTTGCTCCTCTGTAATGAAAATTGTAAATGCATGTTTATTTGACACAGTATACGAGGGGTGATCAAAAAGTAAACAATATCTTAGGTATTTGATATTTATATTATTGTTGAAATATTCAAGTATTTTTCAAAGTGTAAAATGGAGGTCTTTGATAGCATATTGCTTTATTAAAAAAACATCCCTTTTCAAACTTGCTTTCACCGGGCAACATAACAAGTATCATATTTAACCATCTGCCTTCCTTCACTAAAACGATATCCAATCATTGATTGAAATTATAGGAAGCCATTTAATAAACTGTGAACAAATTCTTATACACTACTTCAAAGGCATTTCTAAGATATACATGTGCCATAAATATTATAGTCGTTTGTTGAACGAGTTCCATTGAGACAAGCATTTTTCGTCAAAAGTACCTGAATAATGACGTCATTTTCGGATTGTGACATCACAAACGAGGAGCAAAACTTCAGCATATGCTATTTATAGAACTTGTGTTTGGCTATCTAATCTGAATTGTGGTTTTGTAGATATAGAGATATTTCGCGAACTTTTTGATAACGCTTCGTACTAGTAGGTACTAAAACAAGGTCATTCGTATCAATTTTATGTGTCTAATTTCTTTGTGTTTTATTGGTGATAATTAAGATTTTAATAGATAATATAATTTATCTGTGGCAAACTTACAAACTCTTAATTTTTAACTTTGATGGTGCTCATTTTTCCTTACCTGGAATCACAGAGTTTAAATTTTTTTTTATATCAATACGTAAACTATTTAACAACTGTTCGATAATAATACTAAATAAATTACTTCAAGCCACACTATAACACCTTTCCTCTTTTAAAAGTGTTCATATTATTTGAAATATTTTGCAACTGTAATTCTCTTCTACATTTAAAGATTGTTATGCCCCTCCATATTAAGAAGAGGTCTGGAAAACAAGATTCTGTGCTAAAAATAGACCACGTGCTGCTATCCATGAACTACTTTCATGGTTCTTTACACTCTTTTTGAAGACAACGGTACCTTGTTTTGAACTTGAAATTATCATTTAAAAGTGCAAAATTTAGACATTTTCTCAACAAATGGTTGTAGAGAGAACATTAATGCACAGTTTGCATATTTTTTTGGATTTTTTAAGGCTCTGCTGAATTCTGTAGCTGCGCAGTTCTAAGGAGCATATCAAAAGCATTTTTCTGCAAAAGTATAGATTATATATGCACAACATGCATTCAGTTATGCATATTTATTGTATCTTTATCAAAAAGACTTAAAATTTGATCAAAATGTAATGTATTTTAGCCATTTGAAGAAATGTTTACATTTTGCTCTCCCTGCCCTAAAAGTGGCCCCACATCCCCCTTAAGATATTATACACTCTTACATTTTTTTTTTCATATGAAAGGGGGGGGGGGTATTAATCCATACTTCATGAGCCTGTGATTGGATCCTAATATGTAATTTCTGCCTTCCTTTATGTTTCGCTCAGTTCCAAGCTCAGTTTCAAAGAAATTATTCCTTTAATACATACTAGACAACTGAAGCAACATTATTTGACCTTGACCTTTCCTTTGATCTTTACCTCTCTTTTTATGCCCCCCCCCCTGTAATCAAGGATTCGGAAGTACATAGTTTTTGTCATGTCCGTCCGTCTGCCTGTCTGTCTGTCTGTTTGTTTGTCCAAAAAACTTTAACCTTGCCCATACTGTATAGGGGGAAAATAACTCGCGGTGCTAATATTCGCTATATTCACGGCGTTAAAGAATCCGTGAATTCAAGAAACAGTGAATAAATTTTCAATAATATCCATGTTTTATTTGGCAATTTGAGAATAGACTACGATAGATTCATATAGATGTACGTGCAGTCCATGGTCATTTCAGTAATTACGAGTACAGTAATACTGTCATTCAATTATTTTAATTATCGCGCTTTACTTTAATTCAAATCGGAAGATAATAACTGTTTGTTAAAAAGCTGTTTTAATAGCCAACGCTACATGTTTCATCATCAATCAAAATATGTGGGCCATAGGTTTTGATTACCCGTGCGTAATTAATGTTACCACGTGTATTTGTTACCTGCATTATCATGCATATTAGTTCATGTAGTTATTATCGACATTTTGGTTGTTAAAAAATCATTCAAATAAATATCGAACTTACTGACGATTTGGAAGGATATTATTTCGTAGAACTACATAAACACATTTATTTCCGTCCAGTGGTTTTTCGCCGCGTTGTATTGAAGATCTTGGGTGCACATGCACTCATCGTAATAGCATATAGGAAAGTCATTTGACATTTAGAGTGAGGAACTTTTAATAAAAACTGGACTTGTGTTAATTAATTATTAAATCTAACAA